AGAGAGAGAGAGAGAGAGAGAGAGAGAGAGAGAGAGAGAGAGAGAGGGAGGGAGGGAGGGAGGGAGGGAGGGGAGAGAGAGAGAGAGAGAGAGAGAGGGTAAAGGAGAGAAAGTGAACTTCATATGGGTGATGATGGCTGCCTCTAATCTCAGAAGAAGCAGGCAGAGTTTTGGGAGTTCAAACCTGGTCTACATATCAAGTTCCACACCAGCCAGGACTACATAGATCTTGTCTCAAGCAAGGGTTTGTGTTGGGGGGTGGGGACTCAAAAGAAAGAAAGACACATCCAAGAGCATAGGTGTAGGCTTCTCAAGGAGCCAGTAAGACAGATCCACGGTTATGGGGTCTGTAAGGGAGAGTTATAATTGTCTAGCATCGGTCATCTCTCCCATCTTGATGGCTCTCAGATTGTATCTAAGATTACTAACACCTCCTCCCCAGTTTTGATGAGGATGGGTGAGGTAGCTCTTTGGAATGCCTTGGATGGCAATCTTTAATAAAGTAAAACCAGAAACCACTAGGATTGCCCAAGAGATCTGGTGTGTGTTCTTTCCCTGTAAGCCAGGGATTCTAATGGGAAATTGCAAGTTTACAGCAGGGAAGGGAGAAGGGCCTTAGTTGTTACTTGTGCTTGGGGCAGGTAGGACTAGGACGAAGGCTCTCCATTCTCCCCTTTTCTGTTCCCCCAAATTTCCCTGTCTTTCTAGCCGGCCTCATTACTGCTTCGTTCTAAATTCACTCTTCTATAATACCCATCCTGTGAGCTCGGGTCTGCAAACTACATTAATCCCAGAGGCAGCAGCATTAGTTGATCAGGCTGCCCCTTTCCTAGCCAAAGTGGGCACACTAGCCTGGATGGGAATAGATCTGGATAGACCTGCCAACTCAGCTAGAACGGCCTTCAAGATGGGTGGGTGGAGATGCCCAATGATCTATACATTCAGACATAATTTTGTAAACTTAAAACAATGAAGTATTAAGATTCATTTTTAGGCCAGGCGGTGGTGGTGCACGCCTTTAATCCCAGCACTTGGGAGGCAGAGGCAGGCGGATTTCTGAGTTCGAGGCCAGCCTGGTCTACAGAGTGAGTTCCAGGACAGCCCGGGCTACACAGAGAAACCCTGTCTCGAAAAACCAAAAAAAAAAAAAAAAAAAAAATTCATTTTTAGTGTGTTTGCCTGGCGCTCTCAGAGGATGGAAGAGGGCATCGAATCTTCCGGAAGTCCGGTTACATTTGTGTGCTGGAAATAGAACCCACGTTCTCTGGAAGAGCAGCCCTTCTTAATCGCTGAGCCATCTCTTAGCCCCAAACATTGTTTTTAATTTTGTTTGTTTGTTTGTTTGCTTGCCTTGATTTTCCTGTGACAGGGTTTTGTGCGTAGTCCTAACTGTCCTGGAAACTTGTTCCGTAGACCAGGCTAGCTTCGACCTCAGAGATTTGCCTGCCTTTGCCTCCAGAGTGCTGGGACTAAAGGCGTGCACCACCACAAACCACCCGTGGTTTTTCACACTTTTAAAAAAGCATTTTGAGGTTTGTCTGTCACTAGCTTGGGCGACTGTCCAGCACGAAAGCTGCCCATGACAAGCGATGACACGCAAAATAAACATTATGCTCACAACCCTCGGCCGGGTTGGATACCCCTGGGGAGTGCCCAGTACAATCCTATGTGTGGCCCAGACACCCCTGGTAGACAACACTACACGCCCAAAGTCCCTCAGAAACCATATGCTGGGCAGGGATGATATCAGGAACCGCCCTTTCTCTCCTGCCAGATGCAGGGCGGTACTAGCCCCCTACTGGCCGACCTGGGTCAAGCAATCTCCTTCATCGGGAAGCGCCTCCATCTCTAGACCCCTCTAACCGGCTGGGGCCTTTCTCGCTGGTACGTTAGGCGACACCCCAGGGCGGACGCTTCTCTAGCGCCAGGGGGCGCGCGGCTGTTCAGGGGCCTTTCTGGCCTGCGGCGGCAGCTCGACTGCTCCGAGGCGGCCCAGGTGAACCTTTGCGTTTCTCCGCAACGTGCCGGGTACCGCCGGAGCTGCTACCATGGAGGTACCGGTGGGCCCCGGGCCCCGGCAAGCTGGCGGAGAACTAGGCGTGACAAGATCCACGTCCTCCGGTCGCGCGGCGCGGACCGGGACTCCGGAGATCCCCTGGGCGCGCTTCTCTGCCTGGCTGGAGTGCGTGTGCGTGGTCACCTTCGATCTGGAGCTGGGCCAGGCGCTAGAGGTGAGCTGATGGGCTGGATGACCCTCCAGAACTGTCTCGGTGCCTTTCCTTCGGTGGCCAGAACCTCTCCAGAGGCCCCTCCTCTCCGGACGTCCCTCCTCTCCAGATGCCCCTCCCCCTCACGCTCCTCCCTTCTCTCGCCTGCACCCCTGCTGCTGCTTTCCTCCAATTCCTCTACGCCGCCGCGCCGTTTCTCTACCCGGGGCGCCCACCCTCCAGGAAGCTGGACTCATAGCCTTTTCGCCCATAGCCTTCCTACTTGGTCTAGGGTCCTCTTAGGAGCCTCTCTGAATACTTTCCACCCTCAGGCTGACCTTTCCCCCACTTCTTTCGACTAGTGACTAGCTTAAAGACCTCCTCTTTCCTATTGCCTGTCACCTCTCCAAGAGGAGCCTCTTCTTCAGAGCTCTAGGAAGTCTTCCCAGGCCAAGGAAGGGACGATCTCTAAAGCCTGGCTGCCAATCCATCAATGTAGCCTACGAAGCATCTCCAGCCCCTTGGTTGCTCAGGCCAGAGTCCTTCCTCCTGCCCCCACGTCTCACACTGGGTCTGCTGCAGTCTCCTTGTCACTCACTGGTTGTTCATTTCTGGCTTTCCTGCTAAAAATCTCGTGGCATTCGTCTTTCAATTAGAATCAGATCCAGACCCTGTGAGGCCCTGCTTGATCCCAGTGTCTTGAGCTCTTCTCAACCTATGACATCTGGTCACCAGCTGTGAGCAGTTGGGCAGGGCCTTAGGCTTTTGATGTGGTCTTTCTGTGGTCTGAAGGCCTCCATCCCCCTAACCCACGTACACAGAAAGGCGGCTTCTCTTCTGCTAGATAAGAGGAAAATATCAACCAGGCATAGCAGTGCCTGCAAACCCAGCCTTGCCAGGGTGGGTGGGAGTGGGGTGTTGGTGAGGCAGGATGATAAGTTTGAGGCTAGTCTGGATTGATATAGTGAGTCCCAGAGGAGCCTGAGCTACAGAATCAGACCTTGTCTGAAGAGAAGAAAGAAAGGAAGAAAGAAAGAAAGAAAGAAAGAAAGAAGACAATGTCGCACGTATCTTTAATCTAGTACTCTGGAGGCAAAAAGCACACTGATCTCTATGAGTTTAAGGCCAGCCTGGTCCAGGTAAGCCAAGGCTACATAGTGAGACTTTTGTCTTTAGAAAAGAAGAAAAAAGAAAAGAAAAAACAAAACAAAACCCACGAAACCACCAGAAAGATAAGAGGAGGAAGAAGAAAATGCTACAGGCTCAGTGAAGCCTTTGTCAGGTCCAGTCAAGGTAATGTCTAGGTTCTCGAGGCCCTTGACAAAAAGCCGCAGGTTCATGTAGATGGAGGTGTGTCAGAGGCAGACCACACTCTCAGAGGAACCCGGGAGAGCCTGAGAGGTTGTGAATGGAGCTGAGGTAGGTAAGGCTGAAGTGACCCTTGAGACAGCTGGGGCAGCATACCTTTGTGGTTGGGAAATGCTGTGGCCCATATGATCTCTGAGAGGCTAGGGGTCTAAAATCTTCTAAACAGAAAGGTATAATTCTTAGGAGGGACTCGAGGTACCTGGAAGACCTGTTGTAAATGGCACCACTTGACAGGGTGAGGTGGCACCCTTGGTTAAAAAGTCCCACTTCCTGCTGTGTAAATTCTTTCCTGTAGAATCACAACAGAAATTGAGAGACTTCTCCTTTAACCATAGAAAGAAAACCTGGTATGGTGGTGCACACATTTAATCCCAACACTCAAGAGACACAGAGGCAGGCTTATCTCTGAGTTCAAAGCCAGCTTGATCTACATAGGAAGTTTCTGGACAGCCAGAACTATATATAGTTATGCCCCCAGGCTGGTTTTGCTTTGTTGTTTTATTTTGTTTACAGCCTCTTGCTGTGTAGACTTGGCTACTTGGAATTCACTCTTTAGGCTAGGCTGGCTTTGAACTTGTAGCAGTGTGTTCCTGACTGTCTTTCACACGCTGTACATACAGGCATGCATCATCATGCCTGGCCTTAAGGTAATCTTTTTTGTTGTTGTTTTTGTGTTTTGTTTTTTTTTGAGACAGAGTTTCTCTGTATAGCCCTGGCTGTCCTGAAACTCCCTCTGTAGACCAGGCTGGCCTCGAACTCAGAAATCCGCCTGCCTCTGCCTCCCAAGTGCTGGGATTAAAGGCATGTGCCACCACTGCCCAGCGAAGGTAATCTTAAAGGTTATGTGGACTTGGACTCCTGAGCCTTTGCTGGACAGTGGGTGTGGGACTGCAGCTGGCTGAGGATTAGAGCCCCACAGCTATGCCTGAAATATCCCATAGCAGTGACTTGAGTCTTTCCCAATCTCTGACTGTATGGAGAAACTCTGTAGTGAGTCTGTGAGGTGGGGCATGCATGTGACCCTCGTCTTGTTTGCCTCTTGACTTTCCTCCTCACCCTAGAAATCTCAGGGTCCTACTGACTTCCAAAGAGCTTTTGCCCTGCACTCATTCACAGCAGCTCAGCCTGACTGAGTAGTATGAAGCCCAGGACTGACTGTGGTATGAGGATGTAGAAGAAAGATGGGCTGGAGAGAGGGCTCAGTGGTTAAGAGCACTGACTGCTCTTCCAGAGCTCCTGAGTTCAGTTCCCAGCATCCACATGGTGGCTCACAACCATCTGTAATGAGATCAGATTCCCTCTTCTGGTGTGCGACAGTACACTCACAGAATACATAAAATAATCTTTAAAAAGGAGGAGGAGGAAGAGGAGGAAGGAGGAAAAGAAGAATGAGAAGGAGGAGAGAAAAGAAGAAGGAGAAGAAGAAGAAGAAGAAGAAGAAGAAGAAGAACAACAACAACAACAACAACAACAACAACAAGAAAGACAGTCTGCCTCCTCCAGGAGATTCACCCAGGCTCAGCTAAGTAAGGATGAGAAGCAGGCATTGAGACTGAAGACATTTCTGTTTCAGGTGACCCTTCCCTATTGAAGACAAAATGTGGCCCATTGATGCACTCATTCATCAGCCAATCAAGTTCTGAGCAGCCAGCACCAGACTGGTCCAGCTGAGTCCATGCTGGGCTCACGGTTCAGAAAAGCAGATGCAAATGTAGTTTCTTGCCCTGCGGGAAGTTAACCTTTGCTAGAAAGGGGTAAGTAGTTGGGGGCCTCAGTACTCAGGACTCCAGCAGCACATGGCAACCCTCAGCAGATGGGTGCACCAGAGCCTACGTGCAAGGCAGGGTATCTAGCTTTAAAGGGAAATGGAGAGGATCAGGAGAGCATGTGTTGGGGTACCTGTAGGCCAGCTGAAGAAAGGCTCTGCCATCTCAGTCCATCTGGGTGGCCTCTGGCCAGTTATGTCCAAAGAAATCTTTTCCTGTGTTGTCTACAACCTCTCAGGAGGTAGCTCTCACAATCTAAGGACCCTTTTTACAGCTTTTGGTGGTGGCAGTGGTCCCCCCACCCCTTTGTTTGAGACAGGGTTTCTCTTATGTAGTCCAGGCTGTCCTGGAACTCGATCTGGCATTCACTCTGTAGACCAGGCTGGCCTTGAACTCAGAGATCTGCCTGTTCTGCATCCCGTGGCTGCCACCACTTGTTTTTTTAAATGTATGGATAAGGCCAGGCATAGTAGCCCATACCTTCAACACTCAGGAGGCAGAGACTGTGGTGGGTGGATGAGAGGAGGAAGAAGAGGAGGCAGGGAGACCCAGGAATTCCATTTCCAGGAGCTCCAATGTCCTTCCCCCACCTCTACGGAATCCTGCATACATACAAACTCTCGCAGGCTCCCATATGTGCACACTTTTTGTTTGTTTTCTGAGACAGGGTTTTACTTTGTAGCCCCAGCTGTCCTAGAACTCGCTGTGTAGACCAGGCTGCCTTTGCTTTCATTGTAAGTGAGGCTTTTTGAGGAAGGAGGTCACCTGACACAGAACCTTCTTCAGCCTCGTGGCCTCTGCCTCTAAGTACTAGTCTTGAAGGCTTGTGCTACCATTCCGGTTCTCAGCTTGGTTTCTCGTATCATCCAGAACTACCAGTCAAGGGGTGGAGCCTTTCCCACATCATTCACTAATGAGAATGCACTTGCCTACTGGCCAGACTTCTCAAGTGAGAGTCACTCTTCTCAATGAATCTAGCTAGCTAGTGTCAAGTTGATGAAGCACACTGGCTATACACTAGGGGTGAAGGCCATGGAGAAGACGATCTGATGTAAGACAGCATATAGAGGAGGAGGTGGTCACTGGCAGAAGCATTGCCTGCCTTAGCAAACACATGCCTGTGGCCCTGCTGAGCTGTCTTCGTGGACCGTATCACTAAGGCAGATTCAGGATCACCAAGTACTCTGTCTTCCCCTGCAGCTAGTCTACCCAAGTGACTTCCGGCTCACAGACAAGGAGGTAGGTTCTGGATTTCTTGGGAATGGATATCCCTAGGAGTGAGTCAGCCCTCACTGGATTCTGTTTGTTTCAGAAAAGCAGCATCTGCTACCTGGCGTTTCCAGACTCCCACTCAGGTAGGTGATCCCACACCCCCTGAACTGGACGCTCACTCTGGGACTGGAAGGCAATGGTCAAAAGTGGATGACAAGGCCCAGGCCAGTGGTATCTAGGTAACCAGCAGTGTACAATAAGGATGGGTCCTCACCAGAGCCCCAGCTGCAGTAAGGTAGCCATGTTCTCTAAAACCCATAGAGAGTCATATATCTGGGCAATCTGATCTTCACGCCATCACAACAGCTGACTGGTGAGCACTGTGTAGTGTATTTTCCTGTCCCAGGCAGATTGAGTCAGGCTCTTGCAGAGAAACAGAAAGTGGTTCTGTGTGTTGATTCATCCAAGGCCCTTGTGTTGTGTTTAGGATTAGGTTAGGAGTCTGCTGGGAAACATATCCTCAAGGCTGTCTGCTCCTGAGTGGACATTTGTGCCAACAGAGGCCAGACCAGTGCACCCTTGTGCCACAGCCCTCACCCCTGAAAATGGGAGGAGATTCTCCCACTGTGACTTGTATGATGAGACTGCCTCTTTTCAGGGTGCCTAGGAGACACTCAGTTCAGTTTCCGCATGCGTCAGTGTGGAGGGCAAAGGAGCCTCTGGCATGTTGACGATAGGTCATATAACAACAAGGCCCCCTTGGCATTGCAGGTAAGTAGTGGGGTGTCTCTCTGGTCTGTGTCTTCTCTCCCTTTGTTGGGGGGCTCCTGGCTGTGAAATCTCCTTAAGGCCCCTGGGCTTTGTGTGATAGAAGTACTGGCCAGGCTCATCCTGTGAAGTCAATGACTGTTGCAGGTCCTGCTGATTCTGTCCTGGGGGACTCCACCTAGGCCAGCTCTTACGGGGTTCACCAGGATCACTAAAGTTAATTCTGTGTGTCATATCTCCCTTGCTGGGCATCTGCGTGACTAAGTAAGCTGTCTCAGTGGGGAAAACTCTGAAGGGCCTTCCGAGGGTCTTGGAGCACTCTCATATTGGCTAAATTCTTTCTGTAGTCCCAGATGTTCCCTAGACTGTATTAGCCCACTTTCTGAACTAGGGACTCCTAGGTCCCACTATGCTAGGCAGAGAGCAGGCAAGAGTCTCAGGGGCAAGTGGCTCCTAGTATCTCTTAGATTCTTAGTACCCCTCCTCCATCCTTTTTTTTTTTTTTTTTTTTTTTTTTAAGACAAGGCCTCCCACATAGCATTGGCTGTCCTGGAACTAACTCTGTAGACCAGGCTGGCCTTGAACTCAAATATCTCCCTTTTCTGCCTCCCAAGTGCTGGGATTAAAGGCATGTGCCACCATGCCCAGCCTTAGGTTTCCTCCTTAATGACCTTTGTATATGTCATCCAGGATCTAGCTAATACCCTAGGTATGCATGACTAACACTGCACTCCTTACAGAGGGAGCCAGCGCACTACCTGGGCTATGTGTACTTCAGACAGGTGAAGGACAGCTCTGTGAAGAGGGGCTACTTCCAGAAGGTGAGTTGCCTGCCACTGTGACATAGTATTGTGGATAGGCAGCAAATGGCAGATAGCCGGAGATCAGTGAGTGAGGGGTCCTGAGCCTCCATCTGCAGCCCACCTGGGTAGCAGGACCAAGGAGGAGCCACCACTGGGCCCAGTACTTCCTGAAGCCCTTCCTTGCCTAGTATGGCACTCGAGACCTTTCTGTCTTTGGGTCCAGAATATCTCAGCTCCTCGAGTCTTGCTGGTGTCATCACACTGCTGGGGTAAGCCCACATTTCCAGCCCACATTTCCCTCTGAAGACCCCAGGTCCAGTTCTAATCCTCTTATCTGGGGCTCTCTACTCTACAGTAAATGCATCAGGCTTTTTCTCGTCCAGTCCTGACACATGAGTTAGGTCTGTTCTGTGGCAGCCAGCTGTGGGGTGGCAGGAATGTGCTGTTCCAGCCAGCTGTGGGTACACGTGGTTTCAGGGTTGCCATGGGCTCCTAGGAGTGATGTCTGATGTCTGTAGCTGAATGCCCTCTGATTGGCCCTGCCTCATTACAGTCTTTAGTGCTGGTCTCCCGCCTGCCTTTTGTCCGGCTGTTTCAGTCGCTCCTGAGCCTGATTGCCCCTGAATACTTTGAGAAGCTGGCACCCTGCCTAGAAGCAGGTGAGTGGTCATCAGATGTGGCCAGCGTTGCCTCACCTCAACTTTTCGGGAGAGCTCCTGACATTGGCCACCTGTGTCCACAGTTTGTAATGAGATTGACCAATGGCCAGCCCCAGTGCCTGGGCAGACCCTGAACCTACCTATCATGGGAGTCGTCATTCAGGTGAGGGCCCTTTGAAGAGTAAGCAACGCTGGTGTTGGTGGGTGGAGATGCTCTACTCCCTTCCTGCCGGCTGCTTCCTTCCTCCCCAGGTTCGCATCCCATCCAGAGTGGACAAGCTGGAATCCCCTCCAAAGCAGTGTGACCAAGAGGTGGGAAATGGGGTAGAGGGAGGTGGGCTTTACCTGAGTTCTGTCCCTGGGCTGGATGGTTGTCTCCTCTACCTCACCAGCTTACTTTGTGGGTGCCCAAACCTAGGCAAAACCACGGGGGTGGCCGGCAAGTCTCAGTATGAAGCCTGCCTGTGCTGCGGGGAGGGGAATGGCAGGGGGAGGGGCTGCAGGGTGATCGTCAGATAGAACCTCCCCCTGGGCCTGACCTACCTTCCCTTCCCTTCTCAGAACCTGCTGCCAGCTCCAGTTGTCCTCACTAGTGTCCATGAATTGGATCTGTTTAGGTAAGCCCCGTAGGGCACCACAGTCATACACTGTTGTCATGCAGGGCACAGCTTGCCAAGAGAGGCTGCCTGTCTGAGCGACTCTTGAGATGTTTGCACACTAGAAGAAACCTGCGCCCAAGTGTCTGACGTAGGGGAAATGGGGGAAAAGTTCTGTAGCCAGGAAGGTTCTGTGCCTAGGGAGGTTGCCAGGAAGACACTGCTCTTTGTGGCTGCCCCTTTGTGCCTTTCTAGATGTCTTCAAAGGGACCTGGACGTTGAGATTATCTTGTTCCATTTGGGGCCTAACAGGAGCCAGGGCTTTAGTCTGGATGCATAAGAGGCAATAGTATCAGCAGGGCCCTGGATTGGCAGGCCCTCCTAGGGCTTTGGATCTGCAACAGGAGTTTTGGACCCTCACAAACAGGGTCTAGGTCACATCCCCTAGGCCAGGAGTTGCTCAGTTTGTCTATCAGAACATAGGTGGTGACTCTGGTGACCTGAGATATCACTTACACTGTGACCATCCTTACTGCTGTCTTTGGGAGGGGTAGTTTGTCCTATGCTCACAATACCACCTTTGTAACAAAGCTGCCTGACTGAACCAGGTGCTTCCGACCAGTTCTAACCCACGTGCAGACCCTGTGGGAGCTCATGCTTCTTGGGGAGCCCCTAGTGGTCCTGGCACCCTCACCTGACGTGTCTTCAGAGCTGGTACTAGCCCTAACCAGGTACAAACTTTACTCACTAGACTGTCATGGCTGTGCCTGGTTACCCTAGCCTTACACATTCCTTGCTGTCTTCCCCTGACAGCTGCCTACAGCCCCTGAAGTTCTGCTGTGACTTCCGTCCCTACTTCACCATTCACGACAGTGAGTTCAAGGAGCTCACAACGCGAACGCAGGCTCCGTAAGTCCATGTCCTCGCACCCTGCTCGCACCCTGCCTGCCCTAGGCCTGTCTCTGCCTCTTCTCTTTCTCTCTCTCTAGACCAAACGTGGTCCTGGGAGTCACAAACCCTTTCTTTATCAAAACACTCCAGCACTGGCCTCATGTCCTACGAATTGGGGAGCCTAAGATGTCAGGTGAGAAGTCCAGGGGCTATGAGCCTCATCAGCTTGGGACCTGCCTGAGATGGGGTTCTGTTCCCAATACCTCTGAGCCCATCTTAGGCAGAGGTGTGGGTACTGAGTCTTGGTTACTGGGTGTATTTCACAGGGGACCTACCTAAGCAAGTCAAGCTTAAAAAACCCTCACGGCTGAAGACCCTTGACACCAAGCCAGGTCTGTGCCTCCCCCTTGGGCTGCAGCCCCATCTATTCCGGTAAGGCCTGTCCTACATTTGGTAGATTCCTCCAGTGGGGATGGCCAGGCCTTCTGACTCTTTCTCTTTCTATTCAGGCCCCATGATGGCAGGTGGGGGAACATTGTCCTCCTTAGCAGGTCCCTTGAGTCTCGGGATGGAGGGGGTGAGAAATGTGCAGTTTCTGTCAAGGGAATGGGGCTGTAGGCAGATCAGACAACCATTTTCATCGTCAGTAGAGTTCTGGGGGTATGGAAGGGAGGCTGAATGGACAGCCACAGCTCTGACCTCCTGTCAGGCCTCTACACCTCATATACTGCCCACCTCCACCGGGACAAAGCACTGCTTAAACGACTGCTCAAGGTACAGCCTACTGGGTAGGGCCTGGACGTTGGGACTTGGTGTGAAGGATGCAGGGTACCAGTTGATGCTGAGACACAGTCCCCTCTTCCTCTTGCAGGGTGTACAGAAGAAGCGGCCATGGGATGTTCAAAGTGCCCTGCTGAGGCGGCACCTTCTAGAGCTCACACAGAGTTTCATCATCCCTCTGGTGAGACAGGCGGGAGTGTGCCAGCCATGGGCATGAGGGAGACATGGAAGGGGTTAATGATTGTAGAGCCTGTGACAGGGCTTATGTATGGTTCACATTCATTGCCTGTCTCTTAACCCTCCAGGAGCACTACATGGCCAGTCTCATGCCACTACAGAAGAACATCACACCTTGGAAGGTGGAGTCCAGGGACTTCTGGGGGAGGGTCAATTTAGTTCCCATACCGAGAAGGGAAGGCCTGAGGCAGATGTCCACCTGTAACAGAGAGGGTAGCTGAGATACAGAGCCACCAGGGCACAAAGTTGACTCTGTGCCTGTCAGGCATCCCCCACAGGGCAGAGAAATTAGGACTGCAAGGAGGGGGACTGACAGAACTGTCCAGGGATCTGTCCCAAGCAGGGTGGATGAAGATCTTTGGATATGTTCTCGGGTGAGGGTCCCATCCCGCTGAAAAGGAGGACCTGTGTGCCTGGCTCAGTAGCACCCAGCTCATGTGACCTTTGTCTCAGAGCCCCCCCCAGATATGCCCCTTCCGCCAGGACGATTTCCTGCGAAGCCTGGAGCATGCAGGACCCCAGCTCACCTGCATCCTCAAAGGCGACTGGCTGGGCCTCTACAGGTGGGAAAACCTGGGACGTAGGCTGCTGTGGGTGCCCCCAAGTTCGCTGAGTCAGCTCCTTAGCTGCCTCTCGCCATCACAGGCGGTTTTTCAAGTCCCCCCATTTTGATGGCTGGTATCGGCAACGACACAAAGAGATGGCCCAGAAGCTGGAGGTTCTGCACCTGGAAGCTATTTGTGAGGCGGTGAGGGAAGGCAGAGGGAGGGATAGGTGCAGGCCCAGGGTAGGTGGGAGGCTTGGTGAGAAGAGCCAGAAATATCCCTAACAGAACATCGAGGCTTGGATGAAGGACAAATCGGAGGTGGAAGTGGTTGACCTGGTCCTGAAACTTCGGGAAAAGCTGGTGAGGAGCCTCCTTGTATTGCCCAGCCCCTACTTGCCAGGCTAGAAGTATGCCCACCCCTTACCACCATTGTCTCTCCAGGTACGGGCACAGAGCCACCAGCTCCCTGTGAAGGAGGTGACACTGCAGCAGGCTCAGCTGTACATTGATACAGTTATTGGCTCCCTGCCCAAGGACCTGCAAGCAGTCCTGTGCCCTCCCTAGGACAGGGCCAACTTGTGTGGTCCTGGGGACCTAAGTCTGCCAAGTTCCCTCTCCTTTGAAAGGCAGGCCTCCACCAAGCTGGAGCTCCCAGCTTTGGGCTCCTACCTCAGCTTCAGCCCCCTCCCAGAACCACCCTTGTCCCAAGCAGTAAAATGACATTTGGAATGACAGTCTGGTCCCTGACTATTGGGGGATTTTGTGCTGGCACTGCCTCCCTTCTTCCTGGGCCCCACCTGTCCTCCACAGCTGGAGGTGGGAGTAGTCTAGTAGCCCTCACTGATGTAGGTGCCTTCACCACCTGCCCCCTCCTGACTCCCATCTGCCTACACTCCAGGATGCCCTGTGTTGGGGGTCCTTTAGCCCAGCAGGCTTCCCAGCTCAGAGAAGAGGGAGGCAGCTGCCAGGGCCAGCCCCTTTCCTTTACACCCGACTCGTTCTGGGGAGGGAGGGACGGGTACTTTGCTTAGGAAGCTACTTAAGAGGGCAGAGGCTCTTTGTCCTATGAGGACCTAAATCTCCTTCCTGCTGTGATTAGTCAGGATGAGAGCCTGAGGGATGGTGTGGGGCCTGGCACCCCACTTGCAAAAGCCAGTTCTGGCTGTTCTTTGAGGTCCCCAGCACAGTCCTTGTTCCTTTTCTTGGAACACCCCCTGAACACCTGCTCCATAGATTTCACCCAGGCTGCCAAGGGATACTCCAGCTTTTCCTCCTGTGTCTGCCCCTCCCCCTAAAGCTTGAGAGGCTTTGGGTTTGTATAGCCTGATGCTATACAGTCTCTTCTGTCTTAGCCTTAAGGTACAATTGAGTCCTTAGGCAGAACTATCTCTCTCTCTCTCTCTCTCTCTCTCTCTCTCTCTCTCTCTCTCTCTCTCTCTCAAGATTTATTTATGTGTGTGAGTACATTGTCACTGTCTTCAGACATAACAGAAGAGGGCATCAGATCTCATTACAAATGGTTGTGAGCCACCATGTGGTTGCTGGGAATCGAACTCAGGGCCTCTGGAAGAACAGAAGGTGCTCTTAACTGCTGAGCCATCTCTCCAGCCCCACAGGTATCTCTTGGAGGTGCTGTTCTGTGCTCCCCCTAAAGGGCTAAAATGGTCCCAGGGGCCTAAGTCTCCCAAACTTCCCTCTCCCTTCAAGGCTCTATCTTGGTTTCAGACCTCCCTTCCCCCCAAGAACCACCTTTGTCCTAGCAGTAAAAATGACATTTGGAACCACAGCCTGGTCCCTGAATGTTGGAGGATTCTGTGCTGGCCCTGTCTCACCTGTTCCTGGATTGATGCTGTTGTGCAGTACTCTAATCCTGGGTTACAGTGTGTTACAGTGTTACAACCTAGCACCGCAACCTGGCCCTTGGGGTGGTCCAGACTGGTGAGGATCCAGCTGAGTATCAGAAACCTGTAGGTGGGTCTCCTGAACACTTAGCCTCCTCCTCTGAGGACTGGGCCATATGGGTTCACTGGGCAGTGACGGGCAGTAACAGGGAGAAGGGCATTCGAAGAGAACGGGCTGTATGCCCTGTGACGCTTTAAAGGAGTGCTAGCAAAGTAAGTTGGTTTAGAGCTGCATGGTGAGCTTTTGCTTTCTTACAGAGCTCCCGAGTAGCATGACTGTTACCTATTCTGGGTTCTTTGGACTCTTTAATCAAATCTTATGTACTGCCTTGTCCCTCCTCACTGATCCTGGCTAAGTCCTGACACAGCAAAGGGATTCCAGTGTTAACAGTTGTCAGCACTGTGCCTAGATCTTTGTATGTGTGCAGTTGTTTACTCCTGACCTTAGCCTATGACAGCTTGTCACACTGTCCACTCTACAGGTGAGCAAACAGACAAAATGGGTGAAGGTACATAGTGATCTAGGTCACTCTAACTCAGTTACCAAGGATGGGACCTGTTAGAAAATTGAGCAAAGGCAGGTAGGTTGACGTGGAGACCTTGTCATTAGGAAAAATGGCGTTGGCACCCCCCTGGAACAGAGGTGCCAGCATCACCACCAAGAGCCTGGTCTCTAAGGGATCTTCAGAAACGTGGCACCATCCTCTGTGACAGCTGGAGCTGTGGGGACTAGCCACTTGGAGTCTGCAGAACTATGCCTTTGGTGTGCCCAGCCTCCTACCCAAGTGTACAGTGGCCAGGTCTAAGTCTCCTCGGTTTTAGTGGTTCCACCCTAAAATGCACATCTCAAATGACTCTCTGTAGGCTGTCACACAATAGGCTTCAGGGTGGCCCCCCCCATGGACCTCAGCCACCATCAGCCTAGGACTATAACCAGCTTCTGCCCTGCCAGTTGGTCATCCTCAGAACACTGGACGTGGGAATCAGCAGACAGATTGGGGAGGGGAGGCTATGGACACAACAGTGCTGCCTAGGGCATAAACCCAAGGCTGACACATAGGAATGAGGAAAGTTCCAGTCTCTTTGAGGGGCTTGTCCTGGTTACTCGGTAGGGTATACAGGCCTGGGGCCTCCTACCAGCTACATCTTCGCCTACTCTTGCTCTCCCAGGATGGGATCAGCTGAGTTAGTGGAGCTTCTGTCCAAAGTAGGCCCAAACCCATCTCGTCCCACCCATGCCAAGGGCAGAGCCTGGAGGGAAGAAGAGACAGATGGCTCCAAAGAAGTGCTCCCCTCCCCCCAATCCAGAGGTCCCTTAGAGGTTTAGATGCCTGGATAGTGAAAAACTAATCCTGGAGGCTGTGATCCCCAGAGCTCCCTTGTGTGGGAAGTTGGAGAGAGCTGTGAGCCGGCATTCAGGGGATCTAGAAGGGCTGGGTGGAGGTCATGAGGCAGCCAGCCCTAGGGACAGACCGGAAGGACAGGAGGACTCTTTTACCCTCCAGCTTCCTGCCTTCTATTTTGAGCCCTACTCAGTTCAGAATACTGGTCTTCCCACAACTTTGTTATTAAAATATCTTTTTGTTATACAATACTTGTCTTTTAATATTTTTGATACAAAGTTTGCAGCCCTGTTACTCACTGGATATTTTGGAGTTCCCTCTGTGTGTGTGTGTTTGTGTGTGTGTGTGTTGGGGGGGGTAGTGTTGAAATCACTGGATATTTTGGAGTCCTTTGTATGTGTGTGTATATGTGGGGGGGTGGGAGGGGGTTGCTGGTGGAGGGGAGAAGGTGATTCAGCCAAGCCTGGATGCTTCGAGACTGGGGCAAGTTCAATTTCCTTAAAGAAACAGTTAAGTCCTCAGATTTGTGAAGTCTTCAAGTTGGGGAAGGCATAAGAATTGGGGCAGATCCCCAACGATGAGGAGGAGATGTTTGAGGAAATAGGAGGAAGTAGACAATATTCAAGGAGGGCAAACCTGGGTGGAGGAGAGATATCCCAGGGTGGATGTGAGATGGTTGGGGACTAGTCCCAATTTTGTCCTGAGACAGTGAGATCATCACCATGTTACAAACGCAAGGGACCACAGTATAAACAATTTGGAGGCCAGGAGTAGGAACCCTAGGGTACTGTTCTACCCTATAGATACTGAAGACTTGGGGGTCGGTAAGGCCTACATATGTTAGGCCAGGGGACTGGGAAGGAGGGCAGTGAGGCAGAGTTCCAGAGCGGCTAGGATTCGGAAGAAAGAATCAAGGTTCAGCAGCCCTCACCCTCGGGAGCGGGATGAGCGCGAGGTCCTCCTGTTGCCAATCTAGTGGTGCAGTTCCTTGCGCCCCGCCTATCTCAAAGAGGACACTTGAGGCCTCGATCTGGCCCAGCCGAAGCCACCCACTGGTGCCGGGCCGCGTGCGCCATTCAGTTCGGCCTGGGGCACTCCCGGGGTGGTGCCCAGCCTGAGCGAACTCCTCTGATGACGGGGCAGTGGGAGGTGTGGGGGAGGATGGGAGACGGGACTGCAGCAGGCAGGGAGCGCGGATTGCTATAGGGCGCGAATCTCCAAGCAAAGCGGTGTGCTTAAGTGGCTCTGAGCCGGGGGAAACGCGGGGTACGCTAGGGACGCCAGCCGCCCCTCCTTCCCACCCTCTACCCCTTAGTCTCGTCCCTCCCTCTCGCCCGCCCCAGTCCTCCCCGCCCTCCTTCTCCCCTGGCGGGGGCGGGGCCGGCGGCTCCCGCGCGCTCCGGCCCCTCCTCGGCCACACAAAGGCCCGTCTCCATGGCAGCCGCGCGGGCCGGAGCGCAACGCAGAGCGCGGCCCCGGCGCCATCGAGCGACGGCTGCGGAGGAGCAGGTATGGCACTCGGGGACGGGAACTGTGGGGGCGTCGCGCAGGCCCAGGCTTCGCCACCTACGCCACTTGGTCTCGGCCTGCGCCCCCGGACGCGGGGGTCTTAGGGCAGTGCCGCTGCGCTTAGGGCGACGCGGGCCTCCGTCTTTGCCCCGTGTCTGTCTGTCTTTCCTATCGGCTGGGCCTGGCTGCTCTTGCCTCACCGGTTGGCGACGAGGGCTTCTGCGCCGGGATGTTGGGAGACTGGCCTGGCAGGCAGGGTTCCCGCGACCCAATGGAGCTGCACCCGACCCGGTGTAGTTTCAAACCCTCCCTCACGGCCGGCGTCCCTACCTCTTCACTGCCGAATCGGTGGACCAGAGCGAGTCCTCTCTGTCGTGCTGGACATCCAGGCCCCAGTTCCCAAGCTAAGCTTGCTCAGACGCCTGGCTCTGCTGGGGCTTTTTACAGGGGTGCCCAACCAAAGCAGTCCCCACACCTTCTGGGACAGGGAACAAGGGATAGAGAGAACCAACACCCAGTAGTACCTGGTGAGGCCCCACGCCTCCCGGCAAGTTTCTAGTGTAGTTCGTTGTTGTGGTGTTTGGAGAGACACTTAGGATACAGAGGGCTTAGAACTTGTGGGTGCTTTTTCACAGTCTAGCCCTTCATTTCCACATACCTTCTTCGGGGAGCTCTCGCGCTTACTGCTTCCTCTGGTCTGGCTGTGTGGCAGGTTTGTGTGTGTGTGTGTGTGGGGGGGGGTCCTTTCTCCCTATCTGGGAGCTTCTGAGCCTAAGAATCCTAGAGTTTCTGGCCACGTCACTTAATTCCTTTTTCTAGTTCCTTGGAGAAGGCAGGAAGGGAGGTCGGATTGTGGCCACCATAGTGGTGGTGGTCAGAACTGTAGCCGAAGCCAGGTCCCAAAGCCAGTGTCATATTCTGAGGATCGGAGGCCCTCAGGGCCCTCATTTGCCTTGGGGAGTGCCCCCTCTAACGTCTCTC